TCTCTCTCTCCCTCCCCCTTCTTTCTCTCTCCCTCCCCTCCCCTTCCCCTTCTCTCTCTCTCCCTCCCCCTTCCCCTTCTCTCTCCCTCCCCCTTCTCTCTCCCTCTCTCCCCCTCCCTCTCCCCCACTCTCTCCTGGTTCCCTTCCTCCCTCTCACCACTCCTCTGTCTTCTCTGCTGGACTGTCCCACAGCTCATGCCCTCTAACCACGGGTGTCCCTCAGGGCTCTGTTCTGAGATACTCCTCCCCATCTTCACTGGGTGGCCTCTTCAGCTGCCACGGATTGAATGACCCTCTCTATGTTGATGATTCTCAGATCTCCCTGTCCTGTCCCCAATTCTCTACCAACCTACAATCTCGCGTCTCCAGCTGCCTTTCAGACATTTTGAACTGAATGTCCAGTCAGCATCTTAAATTCAACATGTCTAAAATTGAGCTCATCCTTCCCCCAAGCCCTTCCCCCTCCCACCTTCACTGTCACCGTCCAGGGCTCCCCCATCTTCCTGGGCTCTCAGGCTGCAGCCTGGGCCCTTCATTCTCTCTTTCCCCTTCCCCATTTCCAGTACAGTGCCAGGGCCTTCACCTCTGCAGCATCTCTTGAACACGCCCCCTCCTCTCCTCTGACCCTACCTCTACCCTGGTGCAGGCTTTCATCTCTTACATCTGTATTATGGCAATAGCTGCTGGGGGTTGGGGGGGGGGATCTGCCTGCTTCGGTCCCTACCCCTCCAGTCCATCGTCCACTCAACCGCCAAAATGATCTTCCTACCCCTGCTTTTTTTTTTACTTTAGCATAATATATTCTGCTCCAGCCTTTTGCCTTTACTCTGTATGTATCCCTCTGCTTCTTGTAAAAAACATATAGTAGAATTACATTTTTAATCCACTGTGTTATCTGGTTGCATTTTATGGGAGAGTTCATTCCGTTCACAATCAGTTACGATTACTAACTGTGTATTTCCCTCCATCTTTTCTCCTCTTTACACTTTTCTTTCTCCTTTCACCCTATCCATCCTCACCAGTATTTTGCTCCTGACCACCGCCTTCCTCGATCTGTGCTCCCTTCTGTCAGCCCCTAATCCTAACCCTTTCCCCTACTACTTCCCTACAGAGTAAGATAGATTTCTATACCCAGGTGGGTGTGTATGTTATTCCCTCTTTGAGCCAAATCTGATGAGACTGAGGTTCAAACGATGCTCGCCTCCTCCTTCCCCTCTACTATAATAGGTCATTGTGTCTCTTCATGTAATGTAATTCACCCTATTCTGCCTCCTTCTGTCCTCTTCTCCCAGTACAATCCTTTTTTTTTCCACCCCTTAATTATTTTTATCATCACATCAAATTCAACTTATGCCCACACCCTCTCTCTGTCTATATCCCTTCTACATGCCATAATAAAGACACAGTTCTCAAGAGTTATAAGTATCAACTTCCCGTGTAGGGATCTAAACAGTTTAACTTTATTGAAGAACATCTATTTTTTTCTATTCCTGTTTACTTTTTTATGTTTCTCTTGAGTCTTGTATTTGAAGATTGAATTTTCTGTTCAGCTGTGGTCTTTTCATCAGGAAAGTTTGAAAGTCCCCTATTTCATTGACTATTTTTCTTTTTCCCTTCAAGATTATGCTCAGTTTCACTGGGTAGCTGATCTTGGTTGTAATCCAAGCTCCTTTGCCTTCCGGAATATCATGTTCCAGGCCCTCCGATCCTTTAATGTAGAAGCTTCAAGGTCCTGCGTAATCCTGACTGTGGTTTCATAATATTTAAAGTGTTACTTTCTGGCTGCTTGCAGTATTTTCTCCTTGACTCGAGAATTCTGGAATTTGGCTACAATGTTCCTTGGGGTTTTTATTTTGGAGTCTCTTTCATGAGGTGATCAGTGGATTCTTTCAATGACTATTTTACCCTCTGGTTCTAGGACCTCAGGGCTGTTTTCCTTGATAATTTCTTGAAAGATGCTGCCCAGGCTCTTTTTTTGGATTGTGGCTTTCAGGCAGGCCAGTAATTCTTCAATTCTCTCTCCTGGATCAATTTTCCAGGTCAGTTGTTTTTCCAATGAAGTATTTTACATTTTCTTTTTTTTCTTCTTTCGATTTTGTTTGACTATTTCTTGTCTCATGGAGTCGTTAGCTTACATTTGCTCAGTTCTGATTTTTCAAAAATCATTTTCTTCAGTTAACTTTCATCCCTCCTTTCCCACTGGGCCAATTCTGCTTTTTAAGGACTTGTTTTCCTCAGTTCATTTTTGTCCTTCCTTTTCCAAGCTCTTGACTCTCTCTTGCATCCGTCTCATTTCCTTTCCCAGTTTTTCTTCTGCTTCTCTAATTTGAGTTTTAAAATCCTTCCTGAGCTTCTTCCAAGAAGGCTTTTTGGGCTTGGGACCAGTTTGTGTTCCCCTTTGAGGTTTCAAATGGAGGTGTATTGCCAGGGTTGTCCTCTTCTGAGTTGGTGCTTTGATCTCCCCTGGCACCACAAAAGCTCTCCATGGTCAGCGTTCTTTTCTGCTTCTTGCTCGTGGTGTTTGTCTGTTTCCTGGTTTTTGACATTGAGCTCTCCGGGTGTAGCTCAGGGGGCACGGGCCCAAGCTTCTTGTGCTGGGGCCAGGGCCTGCTCTGCCTCTGTGTGCTGGAGGCTCGAGGGGTCTGGCAGCTTACCTGGTGCTGAACTGGGGTCCTAGTGCTGGTGTCTGGCTGTGTGTGTGCTGAGGCCAGGTGGCATTTTTTTGTGTTTCCCTGGGCCGCACTGAAGCATGGGGAGGTCCGGCCGCTGGAGGACGCCTGCCTGCCCGCCTGGGTCTACACCAGCTCATGTGATGGTTCTCCGAGCTGGAGCCCACCGGTTCCCCTGGCAGTGCTAGGACGCGTGGGGATGGCCTGGTGTTGGCGTTTGCCTGCTCCACGGCTCTGGGGCTTAGGATTTCCTGCCGGTTTGCTGAGGTAGAGGCCGCTCTGGGCTCGCTGGGATGCTTGCTGTCCTGGGCTGTGCTCCCTTTTACCCAAGTGATATGGACCTCATTTGCTGATTCTCTTAAGTCTCCTGGATCAAAACTCTTCTCCTTGTCTTTGCGCTGGCTCTGCTGTTCCAGGATCTGTTCTGGGGCACTGTTTTGTGGGTGTTCGGGGATGAGAATGAGAGAGAGAGACAGCAATCTACTGCTTACTCCGCCATCCATGACCTCCCGTGGCTCCCGATCCCTCTCAGGAGCAAACTCCAGATGCTCAGTTTGGCATTCGGAGCCCTCCTGGCCCCTCCTCTCTTACCTTGTCACAGCCCGACTCCCCAGCACACCCTCTGCCCCGCTGGGCCCTCCCTCTCTCCCCTCTGGGCATTCTCTCTGGCCATCTCCTTGCCTGGACCGCTTCCACCACTGACCACCCTGGCTTCCTGTAAGCCCCGGCTCCAATCCCACCTCCTCCAGGAAGCCTTCCCAGCCCCTCCAAATCCCAGAGCCTTGCCTCTGTTCAGCATTTCCCCCATTAAACTGAGCTCCCGGGGTGTGGGGGAGCTTTTTTTGTCATCGCCCTGGGTACACGTAGGTACACCTGGCCATGGGTGTGGGTGGTGTGCGCTTTTGTGTGAAGTCAGGCTTCCCGTGGGGTGGGGCTGCATCTTCCAGCAGCCGCGGGCTCAGGCCTGGGCCTCCTGCTGAGCCTTTTCTGGGGCAGAGGTGGGTGGGCGAGGGCACCAAGAGGTGCCAGGCGGGTTGATCCTGCCCCTGTGTCGGTGGGGGGCTTCTGGTGCGGAGGATGAATGGTGAACACGGACATCACCCCCCCCCGCCCCCCAGTGATGCTCTGACCTCGCTGTGTCCCTCCCAGGCTGAAGGTGTCTAAGGTGGTCGTCCTTGGAGATCTCTACGTGGGGAAAACCAGCCTCATCAACAGGTACTCTGCCCTGGCTGAGGCCCTCGGGGCTGCACCCATCAGCGCCCTCTGATGCCCAGAGTAGGGACTGCCGCCCTGCGCCCATAGTGTCGCCTTTAGACCGATGGAGAGGTGGCCCCACCCAGCTGCTCTGTGGTCCATGCTGTGTGACCTTGGGCGAGGGTCTTGCCCTTTCTGGGCTGACCCCCACAGTTCCTGTCAGCACTCAGTCTGTGATTCTGTGAGCTTCTCAGTGACCTCTGGAGGTCACATTCAGACTCCGGGCCCTCCCTGGCCCCCACTCATCTGCCCCTCGGGGTCTGGATGCAGTCTCTTTTTGGAGCCCGTCTCAGATGGCTTGGGACAGGGCCAGTCTTCCGTTCACCGTCATCATCGTCCTTACCTGGGCCCCCTCAGGATTCTGCCTCTTCCTCCTCAGCCTTCCTCCTTGGTCCCCCCCCGGCTCACTTCGTCGTCCTGACCTTTACGGCTGACCAGTTGGACTGACAGTGTCCTCCACCCCCGACCCCGCTGCCCCCTTGCCCTCCTGCCATTTACTCATGGCCTTCCAGACCAATCAGCCAACCTCACAGGGACCAGATTGGGGAGGTGTGCTCAGACTGCCGTCTTTCTGAAAAAGATCTGGGGGGCTGAGTGGCCTTCAAGGTCAGCAAAAATTAGCAATGGGGTGCAGCAGCCAAGACAATCCCACAGGCTCTTGGGCTCCGTTAAGCGGGGCGGGGAAGGGACGCACGCCACCTCGTTGGTGTCCTGTGCTAGGACAGTGTCCAGAGGAGGGCTCTTGAACATAAGACAGGCCTGGGGGGACAAGCCGGGCATGTTTAGTCTTGGGGCCATGGCAAGTATGTCTGAAGGGCCATCCTGGGGAGAAGGGACCCACATTGGCCCCAGGAGCCGGGGGAGGCAGGAAGTGGGGAGAGAAATGACCAGGCCTGGTGGGGGTGGCAGGACTGGTGTGCCCGCCTCTATCCCTCTGCCCACAGTTGGCACGAGGCTAGGCAGCCAGAGCCCAGTGGGATGAGGGTGGAGCCTCCTGCCTGGGTTTACAAGAAGCCACGTTTCCTTCCTAGGTTCTGTAAGGACGTTTTTGATCGGGACTACAAGGCCACGATTGGCGTTGATTTTGAAATCGAGAGGTTCCAGATTGCTGGTGTCCCCTACAGCCTCCAGATGTGAGTGGGTGTGGAACTCTTCCCTCCTTGGGCCCTTGGCCTGTGGCCTCCATGCCTCCCTCCCTCTGGGCCCAGCCTTCCCACTTGCTGCCGCTGTCAGATTCCCTGGCCATCTACCCTGTGAAGCTGTGAGCTTGGCCCTGGGGGGGCAGCCTAAGGCCCTGTCCTCAGACCAGGGTGACCATCTCAGCTCACCACTGTGTGACCACGGTGTCTCTGAGAAGTGGGGAGGAAGAGGCCCCTTGGGCCTGGGTGTAGGAGGCCCTGGCGGGGAAGGCATGAGGCGGCTGCCTGGAGAAGGGCCTGGTCCTGGAGCAGTGGATAGAATGAGAGTGCTCAGGGAGCAGAGCCAGGGCTGGGGGCAAGCGGCCCACCTTAGGACCTGGGTGGGAATCTGGCCCTGCCTGGACAGATCCTCTTGTGACCCTCTCTAAAATGAGGGAGGGGGTCGGGGTCCTTTCTGGCACCATCACCAGCATGTGGCTGGGCTTTGGGCTGCCCCTTCTAAGGGTATGGGCAGGAATTCAGAGAGCTGGGGGCTTAGTCAGAGCGGATAAGGGGCCAGGGCACCGGGCTGGCCCCTGGTCTGACCCTAAATGCGCTTTCTTCTCTTTCCCTCTACAGCTGGGACACAGCCGGACAGGAAAAGTTCAAGTGCATCGCATCAGCTTACTACAGGGGGGCCCAGGGTGAGCACTCCTCCCGGCCTCCCCTCCCTCCAGGTGGTCGGAACGCCCCTCAGGGGTCAGGCCCTGGCACTTTCATCGTCCTGCCCCTCAGAACAGCTCCTCCCTGGGCCCAGCAGGGCAGAGGGCCTGAGCAGCCTGAGTGGGCCTGGTGTGGATAGGCCTTCTGCCTGGGGTGGGGGCGGAGGCATTCCAGAGACAGCTTGGAGGTGGGTGGGGCAGAGGCAGGGCCAGGGCCAGGCAGCAGGTGGTGGGGCAGGGGCGGGGCCAGGCAGAGGCAGGCTGGGCAGGACTGGGGCTTCCACTGGCCTGGGCCTTGGCTCTGCCCTCTGCCCAGGAGGGCTCTACATTCCACCCTCTCTCCGCGCCTCTGGGACGTTTCTAAGCCCCACTTCTTGTACCCGAGCAGTTATCATCACTGCGTTTGACCTGGCGGATATCCAGACCCTGGGCCACACCAGGTGAGTGTCCAGATTCCTGGAGGCGTCCCTGCCCTGGTGTGGGGTCTGCTGCCAGAGTCCAGGCTTGCGCCCACCCGACCCCCCAGTAACCGTCCAAGGCGTGTGTGACTGGCAGGGGTGGTCACGCTACCCACGCAGGAAGGGGCCGGAGGTCCCTCGCACTTTGTCAGACGTCCTGTATTGCCCCGTCTCCAGCATAGCCTTCAGGGTCTCCTGGAGGTGGCAGCTCCACAGACGGCCATTGGCCAGCACGCCCCCCCCCCCCCCCGGGGCGGCGCACCCCCGCCCCCAGGCCCTGACTGTGGTGAGGACTATGGCCGCTGCAGGCTTGGGTCTCACCCAAAGATTTGTGCTTGCCGTCAGTGGGGTCTATCCTGATCCTTCTGCTTCTCACTGCCTGATCTCTTGGCCCTGAGGATGGGGTGTGATTGGTACCCCAGGGCTCCTCCCTCCCCCTCCCCCTCTTTGCCCCTTTCCAGCTCAGTTTGCCCCTCTCTCTCGTGCCAGGCAGTGGCTGGCAGACGCCCAGAGGGAGAATGAGTCTGGCTCCAGCTTTGTCTTTCTGGTTGGGACAAAGAAGGATTTGCTGGTGAGTGGACGTGCCTCTAGTGGGTGCCTGGCCCCTCCGGTGACCCATGTGAGCTGAGGGGGGAGGGGCAGCTTAGGCTCCAGGCCTAGGAGCAGAAGGGCTGGGCGTGGTGTCTGGGGCCTGGGTAGGTGGGGCCAGTGGGGCCAGCAGGGAGTGAGTTCCAGCTTTGCAGCGTGGGGGGAGGCCCGCCCAAGGTCACATAATCAGTGGCTTGGGGACGAGGCTCTGGGCCTCCTCCTTCATGGCCCAGAAGCCTGGCAGCCTCCCAGGGCTTGGGATCCCAAAGCTGCTTCATTCCCTCGGAGGCCGGGGCTGACCGGGGCTTCCCAGTTCTTGCGGTCAGAACCAGCCTCAGGTTGTGGACATGAGGAGGCCCCCGAGGCTAAGGGTGGGCCACCAGCCTGCCAACACTGTGCCAGGCACGGTGCCAGGGGAAGGCAGACAGCTTGGGGGGACAGGAGCTAGAGACCAAGACGGGGGAGCTCGTTTCAGAGGAGAAGCCCCAGCGTTGAGGGGGACCCAGATTGGAGCCCGTCTGGAGGCTGGAAGCCAGGAGGCAGGGCCAGATTCCCAGCTGGAGCTTGACGGACCTCATCTCCCACCCCCCAGATTTTATAGAGGAAGACTGAGGCCCAGAGAGGGGGGGGCTTGCCTGGGCTCACACCAGCACTGAGCTGAGATTCACACCCAGGTCTTCTGCCCTGGTGTCGAATGGAGAAGGGTCTGAGGGGGGCTTCCTGGTGGCCAGCTGGCTGGGCCAGGGAGCGCCTCCCACCTGCGCCCATTCGCCCTAGCTGAGGCCCCATCTCCCGGCCCGCCCCGGGCCGCCCTCTCTCGCCAGCGCTGGCCCAGGCCCTCGGAGGGAGAGTTAGGACCCCACTGCGTCTTCTGCTATCTGTGTGCCCTCCCCGGGCAGCCTCCCTTTACCTGCCCGGACCGTGGTAGCTGGTCTCTCTGGCCTCTCCTGGAGGCATCGGGCCTAGCTCACAGGCTTCCTTGGCATCCGTGCCGGTGTTCCCCCCAACGCCCCAGCCTCCCCGTTTCCATCCCCTACGCGGCCCCATGGGCCAGGCCTGAAGCGGCCAATCACGCACCCTGGGCCTTGCCATCAGCTGTAAGGGTCTCCCTCCCACATTCCTGAGCGGGACAGCCTTCCCCCCTCCCCTCATCCCCTCCTGCCTGACTTAGGAGACGGGAGGCGCACAGTCTCTTGTACTCCCCCCGCCCAGGGCTTTCCATTTGTGGCTCATGGCCAGGCCTGTATCCTCCTGCTCTCTCTCTCAGTCAGGTCCTGCCTGTGAGCGGACAGAGATGGACGCTGTCCATCTGGCCAATGAGATGCAGGCTGAGTACTGGTCAGTTTCAGCTAAAACAGGTGGGTCTGAGTATGAGGCAGGGGGTGTTGTGGGGAAACGGGGTGAGGGGATGCTACGGGGAGATGGGGCAGGGGGGTACTGGGGGGAGAAGGGAGGGGGGTGCTGGGGGGAGACGGAAGGAGGGAGGGAGGTGCTGGGGGGGAGACGGGGTGAAGGGATGCAATGGGGAGATGGGGTAGGGGGGTGCTGGAGGGAGATGGGGTGGGGGCGTGCTGGAGGGAGATCGGAGGAGGGAGGGGAGTGCTAGAGGGAGACGGGGTGCTGGGGGGAGATGGGAGGAGGGAGGGGAGTGCTAGAGGGAGATGGGGTGCTGGGGGGAGATGGGAGGAGGGAGGGAGTGGGGGGTGCTGGGACCAACCTTGCAAAAACTGACTTCATCAGTCATAGGGTCTGGGTTCAAATCCTAGCTCTGCTCTTTACAGCCTGTGTGGTCTTGGAGATGAGTCACTGGCACCTCAGTTTCCCCATCTATCCATGCCACCTGGTACAGGGGGAGGGGGAGGGTGGGCCTGTGCCCAGAGCTCACTCTCAGGCCCTGGGTTTTCTCCTGCCTCCTGACCTGGTCGGTTCTGGGTGGCGGGTGCGAATTCAGCAGGCTGCTGCCTGTCCTCCCACAGGGGAGAATGTGAAGGCCTTTTTCACCCGAGTTGCCGCCCTGGCTTTTGAGCAATCCGTGTTACAAGAACTGGAGAAGGGCAGCTGCCATGCCCAGATCAGAGCCGGGGCCTCCATCAGCATCAGTACGTGCCGAGCCCCTTCCCTGCCACCTGCCTCAGTTTGCTTATCTGTGCCATGGGCCCCGGCTGGTTGCAGCTGTGTCCATCATGTTAGCTACCCGCCTTGTGGTACCCCCCAGGCCGCGGCAGCTCATTCCTTCACCCGAGGGCCCTCGTAGGCCATGGCCTCTGCCTCCTGCGATGGCCACAGCCCACTCCTGAGCCTCCTGAGACCCCCAGATCTAGTGAAGCTAGTCCTGGGAACTCGGGGAGAACCTTTCCATTGGCCCTCCTGCATTTTAGACCATTTCTTCAGGCTGCCCAGATGTGTCTGGCTGCTGACGCTGTGGCCAGGTGTGGGCTCTGGGTCATCTGCACCTTGGCGGAGCTCGGCAGGCAGGTCCCTGGGGCCCTCCGCCGCAGACCTCTGGCCAAGCTGATGTGGGCCCTGGATAGCTGGCTGTCACATCCAGCCGCTCACAACCCATTCTGAACCCCATGGACAGCCTTCAGCTTTAGCAAGGGCTTTGCCAAAATCCAGGGAAATTAAGTACATGCGCTTTGCAGGGGCTGTGGCTTCCTCTCCCCAAGGCCTTTGTGAACCTAGCCTGAGGCCTACCAGTGAATGAATGAATGAACAAATGCATAAGCAAATGAACGAAAGAGTGAATGAATGCATGAATGAAAGAACAAATAAGCGAATGAATGAATGAAGGAACAAACAAGTGAACGAACAAACAAATTAATGAACAGATGAAGGAATGAACAAATGAGTGAATTAACAAATGAATGAATAAACAAATGAGTGAATGAAGAAATGAAGGAAAGAAATGACCAAATGAATGAACAAATGATCTAATGAACGAACGAATGAATGAATAAATAAATGAACAAAAGAATGAAAGAATGAACAAATGATGCCTCCCCCAGGCTCCAGCCCGACCTGAGGCCCCATGGGTTCCCTGCTCTCCCAAGGCTACTTTCTGTAAATGTCCTTTTGTCCCGCCTCTTTACAGGAAGGGAGGAGAGCTCAGTTGCGAGCCAGGAGGGTGCCAGCGGCAGCAGCCCTGGGTGCTGCTAGGCAGGGCTGCCGCCAGGACACGCTCAGTGGGGCCACAGAGCACAGGAGCTGGTGACCTGGCACGGTCTGGCAGTGGACGGAGCATCTTCGAAGTCTTGTCTGTCCTCAGGGTTTGTGGACTCTTCCACTTTGGCTGGCTGGCAGCTCCCAGGAGCTCCACCTCGGTTTCCTCATCCATACAATGGGGGCGGTCATCCCACAGTCTGAGTTTGTAAAAGGCCAAATCCACCCGCCCCCATGTGTGCTCTGAGGAGCTGAGGAAGAGACCTTGGTCCTGGGGAAGGGCAGAGCCAGGCACCTCCTGGGAGAGAGGAGCCCCGATCGAGCTCAGGGGCAGGTCCTAAGGGCGAGCTCCCCGACATGCTGAGATCTCCTCTGCTGCAGATGGCTGCCCCAGATCTGCCCCTGGCACTCAGGGCACCCACACCTCCACACCCCCACCAAAGCCTGCCTCTTCCCTGCCCTCGGGGTCAGGCCTGCGGCCCAAGACCAACCCTGAGGGCCACCCAGCTCCAAACCCTGCCAGAAACTGCCAGCCCTCCATCTGATCCCAGACCCTTCCAAGGCTTTCACCTCTGAGACCATCAACCCTGGAACCCTCACCTCCAGAACTGTCACCTCCAGGGCCATCACCTCATGGACCATCCCCCAGGGTCATCACCTCCTAGACCATCAGCCCTGGGGCCAACCCCTCTAGATCCATCATATCTGGGGCCATCACTTCTGGGACTGTCACCTCTGGGACCGTCACCTCCTGGACTGTCACCTCCTGGACTGTCACCTCCGGGACTGTCACCTATGGGGCCATCACCTCCAGGACTGTCACCTCCTGGACTGTCATCTCTGAGGCCATCACCTCATGCACCATCCCCCAGGGTCATCACCTCCTAGACCATCAGCCCTGGGGCCACCACCTCCGGGACCGTCATCTCCTAGACTGTCATCTCTGAGGCCATCACCTCTAGAACCATCATATCTGGGGCCATCACCTCCGGGACCATCACCTCTTGGACTGTCACCTCCGGGCCATCACCTCCGGGACCGTCACCTCCAGGACCATCACCTCCAGGACTGTCACCTCTGGGGCCATCACCTCCGGGACCGTCACCTCCAGGACTGTCACCTCTGGGGCCATCACCTCCGGGACCGTCACCTCCAGGACTGTCACCTCCGGGGCCATCACCTCCGGGACTGTCACCTCCGGGGCCATCACCTCCTGAACTGTCACCTGTGGGGCCATAACCTCCAGGACTGTCACCTCCGGAGCCATCACCTCTGGAACTGTCACCTCGGGGGCCATCACCTCCTGGACTGTCATCTCTGAGGCCATCACCTCTGGAGCCATCACCTCCGGGACCATCATCTCCTGGACTGTCACCTCCAG